TGTAAATAAACAGATCCAGATTACAGAACAGGCACTACTTAGTTAAGAGACAAGAAATAAAATATTGACTTGCTTACCCCAAAGTGTTAACAAGCTTGAGTTATTTACTATTTGTGCATAATGACTGTGATGGATAGAATATATGGCAGGTTATATACATTATTCCCTCCTACAGTCATAGAAATTAGAAAGCTAAAAGCAGTATTTCCTGACCTTCTGTGCAACCAGGATTTTGGATGTGACTTAGGCTCTATCAGATGTACTAGTTTCAGGTCTAGAAGGCAGAAGTGAGTTGGAAACTGCAAATTGCTATTTCTGCTGGCAACTGCTAGACTCGCTGTGGCAGTTCTCTGTATGTGCATCCTGTTTTGGAAGTGCATTCTTGGCAGCCTTCATTTGTAGTGTGGCTTTGGGACTTGTTCCTGAAAGTCTAACCTACAGTCTCCTTCATCAGTCTTCTAATGATTAATATGCCTCAGAATAAATATTTTCTTATTTAGCTATAATGGGTTCTACTCTTTGCAACTGAACTCAAAACAATTTTCCACCAACAAAAATCTCTTTCCTCAGGAATACACAATGTAATAGATCATACCATTAATCCACAAAAAGTTGTTTTATAATTGTGATGCTTTATCCACTTTGTTACTCAAACTTCAGTTTTTTTAAATCAAATGCTTATTTATTCTATATTTAGGAAGAAACAGTGTGATTTTTGGGTGTGTTTCATTGATACTGTCTGCTTGAAAACTTTGTTTCTCTTCTTGAAAGCTGAATACCTTAGGATGATCCTTCAGATTCCCTTCAACCATGTAGTTATCAACTGCCATGTCTGGATAATAACTCCCACTGTTACATATTTATTCTGCAGAAAACCTCCATCCTCTTAACTGGAAATGCTGGTAGAACCTTGAAATGCTTCAATGACATGTCAACCTTCCTAAACTGACATAGTACTTACATTTAAAAAATTATTTTCATTTTATTTGAAAGGTAAAGAAGTAAAAACAGACAAAGAGATCTTTCATCCATTAGTTCACTACCCAGACGCCTGAATTAGCCAGGACTGGACTGAGCCAAACCTAGGCGCTAAGCTGCAACTGAGCCTCCTGTGTGAGAGGCAGGGACCTAAGTATCTGAACCATCATCTGCTGCCTCCAAGTGTGTGCACTTGAACCAGAAGCATAGCTGGGACTCCAACCTAGGTACCAAGCAAGCAGTATTTTATCTGCTGTACCAAGTACCTTCCCCTCACACAGAATTCATACTCGATTTTACTTTTATTTTCAAAAACTTACCAAGAAATTCTGGTGAGCAGTCTAACTTGGAAGTACAAAGTTCTAACATGTAAAAGTAATTGAAAAAGGCAACTTAATATCTCTGAATTCCAAAGCACAGAGTATTAGAAGACGATATTTTCTTTTTGATCTGTTAAAATAATCAACATGTTTAGTTTTTGGTGTTTAGAAGGATCTAGGCAATGAGAACTTTGTACCTTATCTCAGCAGGAGTGAATGATGAAGCATCAAAGAGAAACAGGAGGAACCAGGCATTCTAGGAAATAGAAACTGATATGTGTTCAGTGTGATTAGTGAAGCTTGTCCCCAGTCCTATGCAGATATCCAAAAAAATTTTTTTTCAAGGATTTTTAAAAAATTTTTATTGCAAGTCAGATATACAGAGAGGAGGAGAGACAGAGAGGAAGATCTTCCATTTCATGATTCACTCCCCAAGTGACCACAAAGGCCGGTGCTGCGTCTATCTGAATTGCAGCCAGGAGCCAGGAGCTCTTCTGAGTCTGCCATGCGGGTGCAGAGTCTCAAGGCTTTGGTTCATCCTCAACTGCTTTCCCAGGCCACAAGCAGGGAGCTGGATGGGAAGTAGGGCTGCCAGGATTAGAACTGGCACCCATATGGGATCCCAGTGTGTTCAAGGCGAGAACTTAGTCACTAGTCCACCACGCCAAGCCCTGATATCCAAAAATCTTACTCACAAATTAATACTGCTTATGTTGTCAGTAGACAAATTTAAGTAAAATTACATCCGAAAAGAAAGAATCACTACTGTAGCCCTTTCATCCTACTATACCTTATTAAGAGAACAAAATCAAAAGGAGTGGTTCTCAAGATAGCATTTCAGGCAAAATCTAAGTGAAAATTGAAGTTCTCTAGTAAAAGAGAACTGACTTACTGAGCTCTTTCTTTAAGTTGTGCATCCTAGGCAAACCAAGGCATGCCATCTCATATCTCTTCTGCCAAATTTAGATGCCAAAGTTTCTCATCTTCTCCAAGAGGCAGGAAAAAAACAATACTTTCCAAGATCTGAGGCCAGAAAAAATAGAGCTGTTTGGTTTTCACCACTGCTCTTCAGGGATTTGGGGCTTCATTTCCATTCTTCAGCTCTTTAATGAACATGAACTATTTGAAAACAACTCTAGGCAGCTTTCTCTATCCTAGCTACTTTGTCCTGTCCTTGTAAATCCTGATGAAGAGATTTCAAAAATCCTCTATGTGTGCATTAAAAGTTTAGTGACTGAACTCACGATTGCTACTCAAAAAATATTTACAAGATCTTTAGATGATGACATATACTCCAAAAGACAGAGAAACATTTGACCAAAGAAGTCTAGTCATAGATCAGGGGTCTGGGAGTATAGAGTCAGCCCTTCCAGGCTATGGACATTAGTGTACATTCATAGATGTGCTCATTCGGACAGCTCCCAGGCACAGCTATCAGGGTGTGATGGTCTCTAGAAGTTGGCTCTACAAAGTCTCACGTGTCACAGCCTGGTAATATACATCACTCTCACCATTAGCCTTTGAAGAAAGTTCTAAGAGATAGGCCAGTAGGGATATTTCCAAGTGGCCTCAGGCTAACTGGAACTCTCCCAACAGTAAAAGCAGTTCCCCCAATGGGTCAAACTCTCAGAGGATTTCAGGAAGGACTGATTTACACATCCACCTATGGCTGTAAGAGTTGCTTCATAATACAATCACCAAAAATGAACTTGCTTGTGCTCTGCGAGCTCCTGTGAATAAAAGACTCTGAAGCTAAAATCCAAAATGCTTCACTTTTAACTCAAGAGATAAAGCACCACATTTTAAAAATTATACTTAAATATAGAAGTGGGGTAGTTGTTGTTTGGCTGCTACATAAAGCCATGATAATGTATGTCTTAGACATAGAAAGCTAATTTGAGTAAAAGTTTTCATAGACTTTAAAAAGATGTTCTCCACAACACCAAAGCTCATTAAAATATTTTTAATATTAATATACATTTTCTCTCAGATAATGCACAAAACTTTTAAATATTATACCAATATTAAATAACAAAACTCTATTGATACAAATAGTAAATGCTTTACATAGTATTCCACATAATTCAAAACATTTTTAAGAAATTTTTCATTTATATTTCATGGGAGTATAACAGATTCACAGGGAAGGAGGAATGCATCAATCTTGTAATCGATTTTTATAATTTCAGTTTTTCACAGTTTGGTGTGTATGCAATCGTACTGCTGATGATAATATTTTCTGCTTCTTGGTTGCCTTGTACTGGATCAGAAAAATCATCTCTGTGCTGTAGTTCTTGTGACAATGAGTTCTTATGCAGGACCCTTGGGGTGCTCTGTGAGTGGCTGCTGAGAGTTTTCAATGCGCTCATTCCAAGTGTTGCATAGTATCTGCCTGTTACAATCCCATGGGATGTGCTATTTTTTGAACATAAGCTAATGAGTATCCATTCAAATTAATGGATGAGGTAGCTCAACCAATGTAATCATCATGTCTTGAAAGGAAGGGAAAAGGTAGAAGCAAAAGTTTTTCCTGTTAAAATACACATTGCTCTCACTGATTCATCACACAACTTGTAAGGAACAGAGAAAAATGAAGGGTTGATCATTGAGAGAGCCTGTGTGAGAGAATGGGGTTCTATTACACAGGCTTCCCTGCCAGGCTGCCATGTTTCCATTTCTGTTTCTATTTTCCAATTTCTAAACAGGAAGAAACATCTTAACAGATAAATCATACACGTTTACACAGAATACAATACAGCACCAGTTACCAACTTTAAACCCTCATGCAGAACACATGACTATAAGGCACTTTCGCGGCTGACAAAAGTGAATGCCTCAAAGCTAAGGGATGTACCAAAAATGAAGAAGTAGCCTCAAATAAGTTCACAGAAGCCCTGAAAAGTCACATAGGTAGGACTCATTAGTGATCTTGATCAACATCTTAAGGAACCCCACTGTGACTGAAAAACAGATGAGAGAAAAAATATTTCTTTAAAGATACAATTCTATACATCAGGATTCTGATTCCTAATAAGTCCTGCCAGTTCCAGATCCTTTTAATTTCTTGATCACGGCAGACTGCATATGGGGCTGCTGTCTGCACTTAGGAGTGACACCACACTACATCTGCTATGGAGAGACCAGGAATTGTAGAGGCTTTGAGTTTGTTCTGCAAAGTGATTTTTCACAAATATTATGGCTAAGATAGAATCTAAACTGCTTTAAAATGCAAAAATATGAATCTTTTCTTAAAATCAAGAATATTTTTAGAAAATCTGTTCTGCACAGTATTTCTCTCAAATATTATAGCAAAGATAGAATTTAACTTAAAAATGTGAAATTTCATGTATTTTTTTCAAACCAAGAATATATTTTAAAAATCTGTTTATTGGGTCCTAGTCCGATATCCTAGTGGTTAAATCCTTGCCTGGAGTATGCCAGGATCCCATATGGACGCTGGTTCATATTCCAGCTGCTCCACTTCTCATCCAGCTCCCTGCTTTTGGCCTGGGAAAGCAGTTGAGGACAGCCCAAGACCTTGGGACTCTGCACCTGTGTGGGAGACTTGGAGGAAGTTCCTGGCTCCTGGCTTCAGATGGGCTCAGCTCCAGCTGTTATAGTCACTTGGGGAGAACCAGTGGATGAATCTCCTCTCTGTCTCACCTTCTCTCTGTAAATCTGACTCTCCAATAAAAATCAATAAATCCTTTTTAAAAGAATCTGTTTATTTGTTTTGAGAGGCTGACACAATGGGAGAAAGAGAGCTCTCACCTGTTGGCTCCACCCCTCAAATTCCTTCAAAAGCTAGGAAGCAGTCAGGTCAAACCCAGGAGCCAGGCACACAATCAAAGATCTCCGTGAGTGGCAGTGATTTCCTTATCCGAGACATTGCCTGCTGTTTCTAGGAGCTATTTAAGCAAAAGGCAGAACTCGAGGAACCTGAGCAGCAATAAAACTTGCTCACTGGGAGACAAGGGTATCTCAACCAGCATCTTAACTGCTATGCCAAAAGCTCACCCCCTCAAATCAAGAATTATTAATTTTAACTACAAATATTGTTCTAAATAATGTGAGCTCTTCTATGACTCTTCAAGATTAAAAAAATTTTTTTTCCAATCTATGCTATACCATATTTTGTCTAAAAGAAACTGAAATTAGGTATCATAACACTAAAAAACTGACTTAGAGAAAAAAAAAATCTGTTCTTATGACTTCATTTCCTAAAATTCTAAAAGAGTCAAATAAATACTGTCTGATTCACAATTGGTAAGGACAGAGTATTAGCAAAGCCAGGCATTCAGAACAAATACAACTGTATTATGTGCCTCTTTATTCACAAAGAAAATGTACCTTAATTAAAAAAAAAAACCACTTGTGTTACATCATTTTAACAATTCAGTGGTACTCTTTGATCTAAAAATGTGTTTTGAAAAAACATTTTCCAAGATTAAAATTGAAGGATGCAATTAGTACACAGCTGTTGCTGATGTGAGATTATAGCACATACCTAGCTCCTTTCATGATTCATAACTCAAATCTTTGTAGTACTTCATCTGCAATCATTTCAGAAATTGCAAGGGAAGAAGTGGCAGCGGGGGAAGGCGCATTTCTCACATGCAGAACACGACTTCCAATATCCCCAACTCCTCCATCAAACACAAAATCTTCTACCAGATTCCCATCTCTGTCCAGGGCCTGCGCTCGCACCCCAGCTGGACCTCTGTGAAAGTAAGAGCCTTTGTTAACTAACACAGAGAGGCTGTGGTCTGCAAAGTATTCTTAGAGTAATAATATATTTTTTTTCTCCTAAATGTACAATCTGAGGTTAGCCAAGGGCTGTTAGGGTTAGATGTTTCCTTATCAGAGAGCACAATGTCTATAAAAACCAATACAGTCAACTATAAAGACATACAGTCAAGAGCAATCCTGACAATCTCTTAACAGGTCATATGCACAGAGCGGGGGTGGGGGGCCTCAGAGTGGAGCAGGAGGACAGGAGGAGGCTTGTATCCCAACCCTGGAGACTCCCGGATCCTCACCAAGGACTATCAGTACAGGCAACAAGCACTATATCCCAACTGCCAAGGACACCTCAGGGAATTGGAGTGCCTTTGGAGGCTGAGAACTCTGGGGTCATCCACTCCAGTTTGGATCTCCCACATGGGATGGAAGAAGCCCAAATTCTTCCTTGCAGGAGCCAATATCATCGGAACAACAGCCAGGAACCCTGAGCGGTCCACAGAAGCAGAAGAACAGTAAACTTCCTCCAGGAATCAGGAGAGGAGCTTTCTCCGGTCCTTACTTAGTTCCAACTTTGGATCCCTACCCTCTCTTGCAATGACCATCAGGGTCACTCTGAAGCCCCTCCCCCCAAAACAAAACAACAACAAAAATAGATTAGATAGATAGAGAACAACAAGGAAAGCTTAGTAACAAACAGGAAACAGTTAGCCTGGACTCTCATATTCCTTACTAGGTAGGAAACAAAGATTAGTTACTCCTCACTAAGGTATTGAAGATTTCTCTGCACACCCCTCCTAAAACTGTTCTGTGCCTCAACTGTTGACATATGCCTTGTTAGAGTTATAAGCCCACATGGACTATCCCAAAAACTACCAAGTTCAATAAAAACTATGCTTCAACACTATAAACTGCTAAATACTAAAATGAAAATAGACACGAGACAGCTTAATAGTACCCTATAGCCATTTTAAGGTGTATAGCAGCTAGTTGTGTATAAACTAAAATTGAAATGTCAATGAAATAATCACAGGATGTGGTTAAGAACTTGCATTTGCTAACATATTGGTCACTCAATACCATGTCAATTAACTCCATAAGGTTGTAAACTGTTGTTGATGTTATGTTGTGGCTTTTAATTGATCGGGATGATATTCTGCCAGCTCTGCCTTCAGACCAGAGATGGTCTCCCAGTGAAACTGTTGAATTTATCTGGACAATAAGATGCTGGACATTATGCAAAGTACATGCTTGCAATGAAATAATTATGATTGAACTTGAACTGTAATACTGCAACAATATGGAGGAATCCACCATGGGGGGAGGGTACAGGGAGCGGTTGGGGGAATCCCAGAGCCTATGAAACTGCATCATAAAATGAAATGTAATTAAAAAAATGTAAAATCACAGAATAAGGCTAAACAAGACATATGAAAACTATAAAACAATTGATGAAGAACTTGAAAAAAAATACAGTAAATGTTTTTCAAATAAGTACACAAATAAGTTACTTAAAAACACCTGATCTTTTCCAAAAGCAGTAGACAGATCATGATCTAATTGGGACAGATATAGGCTATTTGTTGTTATTATTATTATTTTTTTTTTACAGAAGATTATTTCTTTGATAGCCAGTCATGTAGAGGAAGCGACTGAGCTTCCTTCTGCTAGCTCACTCCCCAGGGCCAAACAGCCAGCGGCAGACCAGGCCAAAGCGAGAAGCCAGGAGCTTCATCCAGGTCTCTGCTGCTTTTCCCAGGCCTTCAGCAGGGAACTGGACTGGGTAGTGGAGCAGCTAGGATAGGAACCGGTGCTGGTATGAGATGCCAGCATCATGGCTGGTGTCTTTACCTACTATGCCACAACAGGTGAGGGTCCCAAGGCTTTGGGCAATCCTTAGTGCTTTCTCAGGCCACAGGTGGATGCAGAGCAAAGCAGCCAGTATATAAACTGGCATCTGTATGGGATTCCGGTGTTGGAGATGGATAATTGGCCAACCGAGCCATCATGCCAGGCCTTAGACTACCAAATTCTTTCGTGTTCTTTAGTAAGTAAGGCTTTTCTTTGTAAAATTGCCTGTAGACTTTCCCCTAAGAACACTTCAGCTTAGCTAACATTACACTTGATACCTTAGATAAAATAAGCCATCATTGTCTTAAGGGCAAGGACCACGTATGAGGCAACTGTACCTCACGCTCATACTGAGATTTGTGTTTTACACATAGCAGGTATTCAATAGGACTAGAAACTTTACTTTTTAAAAAACTGTTATTTATTTATTTGAAAGGCAAAATGACAGAAAGGAAGAGGTGGGAAGAGAGAGGTGGGAGGGGAGAAGTCAGGAACAGAGAGAGGGGAGTGGAGAGGAGGAGAGAGGGAGAAGTAGAGAAACAAGAGGAGCAGGGGAGGGGGAAGGAGAGGCAGAGGCAGGAGAGATATCTTGCCTCTATTTGTTCACTCCCAAGGGGTCACGGGAGCTGGCACTAGCTCAGGTTGAAGTTAGGAGCCCAGCACTCCATCCTGGAATCCCACCAGGGTGCAGGTTCCAAGCACCTGGATCATCTTCCTCTGCTTCCCCAGGCACATAAGCAGGGAAGTAGATCAGAAGTGGAGTTGCCAGGACTTGATGCAGCATTTCCATATGGAATGCCAGACACTGTGAATGGCAATCCAACCTGTGCTCTGTCACAATGCTGGCCCCTGGGTTAGAAATCTTAAATTTAGAAAATTCTAATCTTTCTTTAATTCTATTTTAACAACTGAAACACAACTTGGCAGATTACTATCTGCAAATTCAGCTACATTTCATTGAGTGCTATTAGTAGCTATATGTTCAGCAACATTTATTTGTCAGCTTGAATGGAAAATTCATCCAGAAGTTAATCTGTATTCAGAAACTAGAACAGGTAAATATGAAATAAACTGCATTCGTTCATCTGAGATTGCAGTATTGCATTGTTCTCATGTGACAAACATTACATTATGGGGAAAAGAGCTATGAAAGCTACAACTGACATCTATGGCTAGTTCAAACAAGAGATTCTATTATTTTATAAAATTTACAGGAAGTCTTGCAATCCTGAAAATATAAATCTACTTGAAAAATAATTAAGTTGGGGCCCGACGCGGTGGCGCAAGTGGTTAAAGTCCTCGCCTTGCACGCCCGGGATCCCATATGGGTGCCGGTTCTATCCTGGCAGCCCCGCTTCCCTTCCAGCTTCCTGCCTGTGGTCCAGGAAAGCAGTCGAGGATGGTCCAAGGCTTTGGGACCCTGCACCTGCGTGGGAGACCCAGAAGAGGCTCCTGGCTTCGGATCGGCATAGCATTGGCCGTTGCGCTCATTTGGGGAGTGAATCATTGGACGGAAGATCTTCCTCTCTGTCTCTCCTCCTCTCTGTATATCCGCCTTTCCAATAAAAAAAAAAAAAAGAAAAGAAAAAAAAGAAAAAGAAAAATAATTAAGTTGGTATGATGAGGGAAGTAAACCATTGTTTAATTCTCAAATGTGAAGAAGGTGGGTATTTTTTTACTTATCTTCAAACTTAATAGACTCTGATAAGATAATACAGTTTTCTATACCCAATTTTTAAATTTTGTTAAAGATCTGGCTTAGGGCTCAGTTGACTATTTCGAGCTTTTGTGAACACTCCAAGAGGACATGAATAATATAAGTGCTCGGTAATGGGGACAGAGGCCTCCAAGTGTTTTATGTTATTCAAATCTCCTCATCCATCTTTTTATCAATAGATGCAACTTAAAAGTCAAAAAGTATAGTCATGGTCTTGTTGATTCCTGCTTGCACATTGGCTAGGTTTGTTTTCCTCTAAATTTCATTTCTATTATAAACATCAACTTTATCTCTGGTAAAATCTCTAATAGGAGGATACCACAAAAATTCACTGAAAATGGAATTTAAAATAAGATTACAGTGGTCCAAAAAGTTTTAAAATTAATGCACATCAATTTTCAAAAAAATGTCTATGGAAAAGCACATTTCTGTAAACTTATCTCTAATTTTTATAACTTTTTTTGTGGTACTTTCATATAATGTTAATCTTTAAGAATATTTTTGCGGGCTGGGTGGCGTGGCCTAGCAGCTAAAGTCCTTGCCTTGAATGCGCAGGGATCCCATATGGGAGACGGGTCTAATCCAGGCAGCTCCACTTCCCATCCAGCCCTGCTTGTGGCCTGGGAAAGCAGTTGAGGACGTCCCAAAGCTTTGGGACCCTGCACCCACGTGGGAGATCTGGAGGAAGTTCCTGGCTCCTGACTTCAGAACAGTGCAGCACTGTCCGTTGTGGTCACTTGGGGAGTGAATCATGGGACAGAAGATCTTCCTCTCTGTTTCTCCTCCTCTCTGTATATCTGACTTTGCAATAAAAAAATAATAATAAATCTTTGAAAAAAAAAGTATTTTTGCCCAAAAGTGTGTACTGCGTGTATATGTTAACCACATGATTCATACACATGCACATATATGTATTTAAAGATTTATTTGTTTATATTGAAAAGGCAGATTTACAGAGAGGAGAGTCAGAGGAAAAGATCTTCCGTAGGTCGGTTCACTCCCCCAGAAGCTGCAGCAGGCAAAGTTCAGGAGCCAGGAACTTCCTCCAGGTCTCCAGGTAGGTGCTGCAGTCCAAGGATTTGGGCTATTTATTGCTTTCTTGGGCCATAAGCAGGGACTTAAATGGGAAGTGGAGCAGTTGGGACACAAAACGGTGCTCATATTGGATGCTGGCACTTGGAGGTAGAGGATTTGCTTATTGAACCACCGTACCAGCTCCTCTGAAAGCGTATTTTATCTAAAGTGAATCTAGGACTCATCTTTAATACTGTGTTAACACACAAATGGATTTCTTAAAAAAAAAAACAACAACTAACAATCTCTGCCTTAACTACTGAGTTAATTATACCTATGCTAACTTTAGTTACTGATATGTGTTTTTTACCATAACATTTTAAGCTATTTAACCTGAT